TTTTTTTTATTGGTCTTATGGAGTATTCTAATTTGTTGAGATAGTGAGTTGGTGGGTTTTTGTTAAATGTGAGCCAAAATCATCACAATTAAAAGAACCAAAGACTTAAACTACTTCAGTCTGTGTGCATTGAATTTATTTAATACACGAGTTTCACAATTTGAGTTGAATTACTGAAATAAATGAACTTTTCCATGACATTCTAATTTATTGAGATGCACCTGTAAGAGCTTCCATCTTAGATTCCAGCTGAGCCTTTTCCAACTCAAGTGTGTGTTTCTTTTTGAGAGCTTCAGCACGAGCAAGTAAAGCCGCTTTATCAGCTGCGATTTTCAGACGAGCCGACAGAACTGAACTGAGACATTAGATGCATCAGCAGGATCAATCAAAGTCTGTAGATCAGACTGTTTCCTTTTCCACAGCTCCAACTCCTTCAATAACGCACTACAAGTGATCCTCTTTGGCTCAAACCAGTCAATCCTTTCATTTTCTTTAACATCATCAGATATAAGCAATTGTACATACTCATGCACTTGATAAAATTCATCTAGAGCTCTTTGAAATTGAAAATGAAGTTCATCACCATCAAACCTCAAAAACGTGCACATGTGCCGAAAATCTTATGTTGAACACTCTCAAGTTCATAAATAGCCTTCAGTTCACGTCATATCATATCTTAAAAGCTTAAATCACACATCCATTGCAGCTCCATAGCCAGCAAAACTCATAATAAAACTTGCCGAATGGCTACTCACAGCACAGCACGTTCAAACAGCATCTTAATGAAGTCAATTTCTTCGCTGAATAATCCATAGGTGCAGTACAGCAGCAGACATCCACATCAATAGCCAGCAGGTCATATCGTAGCGTGTAGAAAATTCTGTCTTTGCAGAATTTTCAGACTTCAATGTAGCAGCAAATTTGTAATAAGCCACTATCCAGGTAGGGGGCGAACAATTGACGTGTGAGTCTGTAACATAGCATCTTTGTCATTTATTTTCGCAAAACAACAATCCATAAAATCAACATTTGAACCAAAGCTTCACCGCTAAACATTAGCACATAAAGACACATGAACACACGGTCTGAAAATCGTATCCGCTTCCCCCTACTGGCCCCACCTACTTCCTCACCTGCACTTCTTCTTCTTCTTCTTTCTTTAACTGGCAACCGCACTTAACAGTGCATTACTGCCATCATCAGGTACCTTGGATCAGAAACATTTCCTCTATCTCTTAACATTTCCTAACCCCAAACCCCCATAAAAAAAAACAAAAAAAAAACACTTGCGCTGCG